CCCCACCGCCCGGGCGCAGGGAACGCGCAGCCCTTGTCTCTGATGGAGCCGCCGCGCTCTGCGCCTCGCAGGTGGCACCTGCAACCACGTCCCGCCTGCCTGGATGCCGGCTGGATTTTTATCCGAATTATTCCATGTAGGATAGAAGTACCTTAGCATTCGCAGCATCCTGATCCACCTTTTTCCGAGGAGGAAGCGGAGGAGGGTTTTGAGGCTCATCGCTCAGCTTAGGGAAGCTACCCCAGGAGCTGAAGAAAGACTCTGGGGAGAGAACAGGGATTTAACTGCCCGGGCAATATCTGAGTGACATTTCCAAGAATGTTAAACCAGAACAGAAGCAACTCAAAACCTCAAACAAACGGATCTTTCTACCCAACGGCAGCATTAGCCACTCGCTTCAGCCGTAGGAAATTCTCTTGCCTTCGTTTCTATAACCAGAAACCCTGCTCACAAAGCAGTCTCCCACTTCCAGCATCAGAGAAAGGCAGCAACAGGAAATGTTAAAGCACAGAAAAACAAATACAATAAAAATGAACCTCTTGTAAGAAAAATAAACCTAGGGAGCACGGAAGCAGCTTTTGAAGGCATCAGCTCTCACAGCACTTCACGTTGCTTCTAGCCCTTTTCCTTTTTGAGGAGGAAGAAAAATCCTGCAAGTTAAAAAGCAAAACAACCCCTGACCTTTGTGACTTTTATCAAAGTGCTTCTACGAGAAGTGCACCTGTGAGCTCCAATTTGAATTTTCAACGCAATTGAGAGCAGAGAATATGTAGCTGTGCAGTAAAAGGAGATAGCAAATATGTTGCTGTGGAGCAAAAGGAGAAGCTGGACATAGATACAAACACACAATTTCCCTCACAACTGTGGTAAGGCAAATACCTCATTCTTCTCCAGTAGTAGAACAATTATTTTCACAAGAATATTGGCAAGGGTAAATGATCAGGTCACTACATAGCCAAACGAATAATCACCAGGGAGGAACATGCAAAGTAGAAGCAAAATCATGTTGCAGCCTTGGGAACTAATCAGGGAGTTCTTGGACTTTACAGACTACAAGTGTCCCTGGACGCTGCCTAAAACCTGTAAGAAAATCCAATTCTATTTACTGATCTCAGCCCACATTTGCAAAGACAGATTAATTCCTATTTACTTTTCCTGAAATCAGGAAAGCAGAGTTCAGTGAAACATTAACAGAGTTATGGTACTCACTGGACTGTGGCAGACTGACAGGTGCAAAGATGCTGTTATTACCTATTAAAAACAAAACAAAACAAAAACAGGGATTAAAAACTCCTCTGGCAAGAGCTGCACCTGCCCCACAGCATATACAGTACGTGCCAGAATGACTGCAGAAGAGCAACACATGCTCAGGTTTATCTGCTGCTAACGTGAATTAAATTTTCCTCTGCAAAGTGTTCTTGAACATTTAAAGTTATGTCGGGAATTAATTTTATTGCTGGTATTATTGTGACTGACACTACCATGTTGTAGGGGTACCGTCCATGTTCCTCCCCACTTCACAGAAACCCAGAACGGCTGAGGTTGGCAGGGACCTCTAGGGATCATCCAGTCCAGCCCCTGCTCCAGCAGGGACACCCAGGGCAGGGGCACAGGGCGGCATCCAGGCGGGTTGGAAGATCTCCAGAGAAGGAGCCTCCACAGCCTCTCTGGGCA